TAAAATATTGATAATAGAAAAAATGTTTTCTGATTGTTAGACAAAATTCATACATTTGTTTTCATATAATTATTATTATTCATATTATCCTTGTTTCGCAAGCCTACAGAAAAATCGGCTAGGAATATTTTATCAAACCTAGGCAAACTTACTAAAAAACACCTGCACATGTCATAAGACTATTTTTATGTAGATTCTTGAAAGAAAATATATTTTATCACTTTTTCATCCTAATGGCCAAGTTTTTGTTGTAAGCCATTCAAGCAACGAAGCCTACAGCATACTGCACCAAAATCTATGCACAGCTATTAAAGAAACTCTTGTGAAGGTTGTAGGGCTTTTTATAAGTTGTTTCTTGAAAGTCGAGATTTCTACCCTCTAAAGTTTTTAAGTTCTTCGTCGCAACCAACATAAACTCTTCAAGCATCACAGAAATGTATAAGCCATTTAAGCACAGTTATACTAGTTGGAAATGTTCCATTTTATACAAGTCGGAAACGCTTCGTTTTATTAGAATAAACAATGTATATATTTATAGCAGCCTTATTATTATTGATTATAGTTTTATAAGTCACTACAAAAAAAAGGCTACGAATATATTACTGAAAACTGGACAATAGTAATGAATGCAGTATTTAGTATGTCATAGAACAGTTTTAAAATTAATTCAAGCACCTTCGTTTTTTCTCCCTGAAGAATGTGTAGGTCCTTTACTTTCCACCACTGGAAAAAATCCTGTGTTTTACTAATGCGCATTAATATGAAAATAATTTGTGTAATTTATAGCGCATTAATTGGAAACTGCCACGTTGAAGATTCATCATTTTTTCGAATTCGCTGTTTGTCTCTACGTGGTTTTCTGCGACTATTTCAGTGAGTTTTCTAACAGTAGACAATTACCATAGTAGATTTCTCTACTCTTGTAAGTGGAGATTTATTCTACTGATTTTCGTACTTCTCTGAAATTGTGGATGCGTATTTTAGTTTTATTTTATTTTTATTATTCATATTTTTGTTTCACAAGTCTACCGAAAAATCGGCTCGGTATTTTGCACCAAAACATAGACAGATATACTATATTAAACGTTATGAATGTCCGTAAAATATATAAAAAGTTTATTACTTTTCACTGAAAGTAGATTTATGTGGCTATAAATACATAATACATGCGATGTTGTCGTGAGTGGCTTCCTTTGTACTCCACGTTTGTTAAACGCATGTTTGCACGAAACCTCAGGCACAAAACCACCTGGGTGTAAAAAAAAAGCCAATGCAGCAGTAAACTGTTGAAAAACTTGTAACATTCAACTGAATATATATGCACGTATGTAGCTTAAAATTTATTCTCCATTAAAAACTTCAGTAACAAGATAATTAAAAATTGTTAACTTAAAAAGGGGAATATAGATCGTCAAAAAATACAGAAACTAATTGAATCCAAATGCAAATATTATATTTTCAAACCTACAACTAGGGACTCTAAGAAAAAGTAAACAAACTAGACTGGAAATAGTGTCTACATTATTTTCTCAAGTTACAAATCCCTATTTTGACCCCACTAAATTTGATAAGTACTGTACACATATTTTGGTTGAAAGTTGACGTATTACTGCGAATAAAGTATAAATGTTAGAGTGTACCGAGCTCATTTTGCCATTGACATTGATGTATATATTTACTATATGAAGCCAAGTCAGCCATTTGATTCAACACTGCTACACATTCTTCAAATCGTGTATAAATATAGGTTGATTGTGATGTGATTAAAAAACACCATACGTATAATGTACCTTAGCGTGATAAAATCCCTTCTAGCAACAGCAGTTAGCGCTATCAAAATTTCAGTGATACTTAACTCTTTAATAATTTATAAATTCTCAGCACGTGACATAAAATAAAATGTCGCTGTCTCCAGCCTAATAATTATATAATAAGGGTTTGTTCTCCACAGTCTTGCTGAACAACTGAACGCAGCACAAATTACCCGACTGTGGTAGACTTCTTTGTCTACATCCAGCATCCAACTCTATTTACTGACGCGTTAATATTATGAGCACGTGACTTAGCTTTAATCCCCTTGCATGCCGTGAATACTCCCCTCAATTTCACTAGCTTTTTCTTTCTTTCGTACTGAGCAAGAACCCAGTTGTTATACTATGTTTGTGTAGTAAAGACATGGTTTCTTTACTGTAATAATAATATCAATTATATAATAAGCCAACCAAGTACATTCTAATATCATTCTAACTAATGAGAGTCAGTTATCTAGGTATGTCTACAATTACCCTATAGCCTCATCAGGGATGGCAGTAAGATATAGTTAAAGTGAATTAGTTTGTTGAAATAGCTGAAGGTTATTCAGTAATCAAAGTTACAGCAAAAATAGACAATATCCATTGATGGAAGATATATTAATATGTAAAGAAGTAGAATAAACGACGATTTTTTGCTCAATAAAAAATAACTATTCTATTATTAATACTCCAGCCGAGTAACACAGTAGTTTACATAAAGTAGCACAATGTACATAAAACGAAACTATATCTTAATGTTAGGGATGTTATAAAGATTAAGGTCGTATAAGAGTGATGATGGTGGTGACACTTAATTTACTTTGCTGGAGAGTCGAAACACAGGTGATCTATTTTCCTTGTTTAAATGTTTAAGATTTACAGGGCCTCTGCAGTTTATTTTTCAAAGGTTAAAGTCTTGAGGGTTCATAATTCTGTTGTCTATGTATTTTAATGAAGATCGAAGGTCGTCTTAGTTATGCAGTATATTTCTCCTACTGAAAGGTCGAGACCATGCAAAGGTCATGTTTCAGCAATGTAGATATTTTATTGAAAATTCATAGCCTTATAGTTCTGCAGGCTTTCGTTTGTATTCTGTTTCTGTTCCAGTAATTAGAAGTTTTAGATGTAAGTCCGCATTCAATTCCTTAAAAAATTTGGTATTTATATTATTGTGATGAATTTTATAATATATATACCAAATCCTTTTAAACACAAAACTACATAACTGTCTGTACTGTGCCAATAACGAATATAGAACCCTGAATATTATCATTATAAATCCTTCAGCTTACCGCTGAGCCACCAGGGGACATTATTATGATAAATGTAAATAATGATGTCTACATATATATATATTTCTTTTTGTTGTTTAGTATTGACGAAATTTAATGTTAAAAGATGGTAAGTTTATATCAAAATGTATTATTAATGAAGTAGGAGATAAAGGTCAGGTTAAAGAAAAGCTCTTCCACTTTGACCCCTTGAGAAAAATTTTAAATCATTATATGTTTTTTTTTAAATTAGACTGATAGATATTCCCAGTTACATTTACCAATAACGCTAATAACAGAGAAACAGTTAGGTTATCCGGTATTTTCAATCTGAACAGTATCTATGTATCGGATGACCAAGTCAGAGATTCCAAAATTTTAAGATTCGAGCATAGCCTATTTTTGTAAACTGTTGACCAATAAGGGAGGGCAAGTAGTATTTTCAAATAGCACTAATATCTGTCAAAAGTGACTGGATAGGCTGAGTAATGGGAGATTCATCAGAATATTTACTGCGAAATAATTCAGTATTCTCTGACTAACTGAATTCGAAGAAATAAACAGATTGAACACAAATGTAAATACACAGTAAACAATCTTTATTCACAAAAATGCAGTGAAAAATGCACTTGTCAAAGTGAGAGTGAGGTTTTAAGTTGTTCTAACTTAATCACATGAGGTTGTACACAAGACTAACTGTTCAAATCCTGTGTCAGACTGAATAAATCTCACATTACTTACTTATCTCATTAACGTAAGACTTACACAGAACAACTATCGTTTTCCACGTGACTAGCTATTTCCAAGAAACCTAAGAGTTCATTACCTAAAGAGATCACCGGACAGCCAGCAGAAGGGATAACTGTCCAACTACACACACTATAGATGACCTTCCAGCTATCTTTTTTATTCTAGGTGAATGACATAGAACAATAGGTATCTAGTGTAATAGTAGTTTAACTACCTCCTGGCCAGTGTATTATGTAAAAACTGCACACACACACACTTAGGTAAGTAAAAACATTTGAAATTTCGTATGCTAATAGAAGGAAGTAGAAAACATGTGGTGTTCTTACATACCACACTCTTAACCGAAAATGGAATTGACTGTTACTTTTATAACGCACGCACGGCATGTTAAAATGCCTAATTTGACATGGTCAGGACTGTCATAAGTAACACAATTTTATGCAGTCGATTTATGGTTATTTTTTCGACATTCTTATAGAAGAAGCAAGAATCATTAGATATTAGTCATTACAATAAAATAATTTTCGTTACTTTTCATTGGCAAAGAAACGGAAGATTTTAATAAAGATTAGTATAGTATAGTATAACAGCTACAAGAAACAAGTGTGTCTTCCTCAAAATATTCATCAAAGCGATTTATTTTAAATTCATCGGCTTATGTTTAATGTAATATAGTTACATTCCCCATCGATTGCTTAAAGTATCAACTGGATTTAGTCTTTCAATTCTATTAGACTTAATGGGTTGTTTAAAGCTAAATTGGGGTTTCCTTATTGTTTGCAATTGTTGAGCGAGCGAAGCTTCGTTGAGTTGGCGCCACGGAGACTGGCATCTTTTGCAATTAGCGTTGCGAACTGTGTTGAGCTGAGAGTTGGGTTCCTGTTGCGTTCTGCAGCTAATAACAAAAGAACACTTAAACTGTATAATGCACAAGTGTATATGACCAAATTATAATGCAGGAATAAACTAAGACTATTTTAAATGTGTATTTTATTAACTTACAATGCTTCTTTCTTGACTGTGTAAATATTTATGTACGAATTAAAAATAAAATAAGGTATTCAAACACGCGACCGTCTTATTTTGTTAGTTAAATAGTATTCAACAAAATGTTCAAAACAGGCAATTAGTTAGTATGTGTATTTCAAAATATGATGAAGGAAAATATTGTGTCTATCATTTGTAGGTAGCGGACAAGCAGGCCAAGTACCCGGCTTTACATATTGTTGGCTACATTCTCATCTATATCAGCGCCTCCATCAACCCCATTATCTACGGTGTTACCAACAAACAGTATCGACAGGCTTATAAGACAGTTCTGATGTGTCGTCGACCGCGCAGTCTCAGTGTTAGTACAAATGCTTCCAACACTAACGATCCATCTATTAACCCATGTACTCTGGTGTCCAATGTTGCTCAAAATAGCAAAGATGATTCTGTATTTGTTGACGAGCGTGTCTAAGATAACCATAACGCACATTAAACTTTCCTCGAAGGTCTATGTCCGTTGTAAAGATTAAGTAAATTTTACTGAGACATTTAGAAGGTATCGTCGTTTCTAAGGTTTCTTAAAATAGTATACAGTTTTTTGATGCTTGTTGACGAATCAATACAGAACGTTTAAAACGTTACTTTAGTTTGAAAAAACAAACAAAAACATTTAACTTGCTATGAATAGTATTAAATCTCTAATTACTTCAGATAGCTTGGATGTATCTTTGTCTCTCTAATGTTTTTTAAAAGTACCAAAGAGTGAGTTAACAATTTAAATTTGAAGTGTATCTCAATTCCTAAAAAATGAAAGGGTTAAATTTGCTAAAAAATCTTCTTCATAGTGTACACTATTCAGATAACTTGAATATGTATTTATCTTGCTAATGTTTAAAAGCTTTGGAATATGTAAATAAGATGTATGTAGATAATAACTTGAGTTAACGTTATAGTTCTTATTACAAAATAAATATAAATCATAAGTTCTGACGTTTTCGTCTTTAGAAGGGTCAATATCTTTCTGTAAGTTTAAAAATAACCTTAGTTATTTCAATACCTTTTAATGAAATAATGCATGATATTTGAGCTTGTTGAAAATAAGGTCCTTTTCAATAGTGTTTTTTTAGTTCTTTTACATTCGGGTAAGCTGATGCCTAACAAATTAGCTGTAATTCTGAATTACGAGAGGAACGGAAGGGCACGCTTTCGGAGAATAAATCGAACTCAGATCTGTGGAATAAGAGGGACTGGAAACAGTGGTGTAAACAAAACAAAAATGTATTCTTTGTTGACTCTCAAACACATATGAAGGCAGTACTCCAGTATCAGAACTAGTCAGCTTCACAATGATATTGAACGCTAATTGCTGAAGCAGATTAGGATGACATCTTCACCAGACAAAAAAGTAACAGGATTGTCTCATGTCACACCTTTAATCAAGTGAAACCTCTCTCAGTGCGGCATCACACAATGTGTGTTACTCACATTAGCACTCATACTCGTTCTACATTTAAGAAGGTATAATTTTCCTGCTTATACTGACTAGTTTCGGGCATAACTCGCATGCTAAGTGAATTAGTACAAGTTTGTAGAATGATTCCTGTGGTGTGTAACTTGCCCAAGTCGTAGATAAGGGAAAGGTAAAGCTGAATACATCCTGTTAAGAACAACTATAAATAAATTTTAATGCTAGTAGGTCTGCATGAAAATTTCATAAAACTCTGGATGAATAAAGTACGATATTCTATTTACAGACAGGTAAAGGCTGAATAAACATGAAGTACGATATTCTATTTACAGACAGGTAAAGGCTGAATAACCATGAAGTACAATATTCTATTTACAGAGAGGTAAAGGCTGAATAAACATGAAGTACTATATTCTATTTACAGACAGGTAAAGGCTGAATAACCATGAAGTACGATATTCTATTTACAGACAGGTAAAGGCTAATAAACATGAAGTACGATATTCTATTTACAGACAGGTAAAGGCTGAATAAACATGAAGTACGATATTCTATTTACAGACAGGTAAAGTCTGAATAAACATGAAGTACTATATTCTATTTACAGACAGGTAAAGGCTGAATAAACATGAAGTACGATATTCTATTTACAGGCAGGTAAAGTCTGAATAAACATGAAGTACGATATTCTATTTACAGACAGGTAAAGACTGAATAAACATGAAGTACGATATTCTATTTACAGACAGGTAAAGGCTGAATAAACATAAGTACAATATTCTATTTACAGACAGGTAAAGGCTGAATAAACATCAATACAATATTCTGTTTACAGACAGGTAAAGGCTGAATAAACATAAGTACAATATTCTATTTACAGACAACTAAAGACTGAATAAACATGAAGTACGATATTTTATTTACAGACAGGTAAAATACTGGTGGTTTACAATTGCCACGGTTCTACCAATGATAAGTATTTCGTTAACGGATTTTTAATGCTTCCTAAAATCTACTAAGACCATGAAAAGCGTGTCTTTATAATGGAATGCGTTACTGAACTTGATCATTTTTGAAAAAAATATCTATTTCTTGAGATGTTCTATGACAGAATAATTTTAAAGAGTCTCTCCCTATATTCATAAAATATCCTGTTTATGAAGTGAAATTAGATTTCGTGCCGTCTCAATCAGAGACACATTTTGAAAGCGAAAATGCACGTTTCTACATATAAATAATTAGTTTAGTGATTTTTAGAAGTATTTCGCTGAATTGTGTATGTAGCATGCCCTAACTTTAGAAATCATCATTGTTTATATAATGTTGGATACTTTTATATGTAGCTAAGAAATATTAATGTTGTGTAATAGCATGGTATTGTATTGTTGCATTCATCATTCTACTGTTACGATATGTGATACCACAGATGTGTTTAAAGTATTGCAAGTTTTAAAGTGAAAAGAGATGATTCTGTTGACGACAGTTGATGTTTCACATATTTGCAATACTAACATATTGTTATATCTTGTAAACACTAGTAGTTTTTTAAAAGTGTTATAAAACAAGTTAAACAAGTTGTTATTGTATAAGGATAGTTGACTGGTCATTCAATTCAAATATTTTAAGACAAAACAGAAGTGAAACAATCATTATTTATATAATGCATATGCACTCCATTCTAGGTGCATGTAATACTATAGTAAATCAGGATAAAATGAAAAACTGAACATAGAGAGTGAGAAAAAAAATGAATGAACCATCATATGTTATCCATCTGAGAGGTTTTCTCTGTGGCTCATAGGTAATTATGAAGTTTTACAACGACAACATTTTGGTCCTCTCTCTGCGATTGGCATAGCACAGATAACCCACTGTGCTTAACAACAAACAAACAAAACAACCGAGATGTTCTAATATATTTAATCCATCTGCTGGAGACAATGGTTCGAGGCTCAGGTCTTCATCTTAAATGAGTTACATTCCTTCATTTATCTCTTCTTGTAACACATTGTAGTTCTTGCCAACTCCGACAAGTCATATCGTATAATATGTACAAGTTACGTGTTTAATGGAATGTTCACAGTCGTAATGTACACTATGTTACACAAAGTGATATTCAATTCAATTTATCATTATAAATTGTAACACTATAATCTAAACTTTGAAATGTTACAATTACCTTTTTTTTTTTTTTTACTGGTTAAACACCAGATGCACAATGAGCTTCGTGGTGTATACTGTTTTCATCTGTCATTTTTCCAGTGTAAAATCTTCAATGAAGTTGAAACTTGACATATGAAACCTTTGTATGCAATAACTTTGACGTGGGTTAATTACATGTACACATACGTAGGCTGTTAACCTCTTTACTTCATGTTGTGTCAGTAGTTAAGATACATTTGTTTAGTTTTCATCGGTCTATCGGGAAATTAAATTACGTTTGATACGTTTTCTTCTGTAGCTACCATCATGTCTGACAAACTGTTGGAGCGTAGACGATTAACTTAACAAAAATTCGAACACTTATTAACATTGACAAGTTCTTATTGTATAAGGATAGTTGACTGGTCATTCAATTCAAATATTTTAAGACAAAACAGAAGTTTAACGTGAAACAATCATTATTATATAATGTATATGCACTCCTGTTACATGAACAACAGCCTTAAAAGTTGGTAAAGAACTGAAGAAAAAAACTATTTAACTTTGAGAATAATTTTTGTTGTTTATTATTATTATTGTAACTTATTAATCCATACTTTTGGAGATTTTACGTTTTGATTTTAATCATGTCGGATTAACATTGTCAGTGGTAAATGTTCATTAGATTTTGTAAAACATAGCATGGCACTGGAAAAGCATCTACTTTCTGACAGTAACACTCCTAAAACATCCGTTGTGCCATTGACAGCTCTGAAACTTCTGTTATTGGAATAACCATTCTAAAGTTTCACTGCATCAGTAACAGTCTTAAAATTTATATTGTCTCAGTATTAAAAACCTCTTTTAAAATTCCTGTTCTACCAGTAAAAACAATAATACTTTTTTGTGCACAAATGATAATCATAAACTTTGGGGTGAAGAACAATTCGAACGCTTCGACTATATTAAAACCCCTGCTGTACTATGGAAAAACTTGAGTCTCCTGTTTGAAATTAGATAATCTTCACCTGTTGTAATAATAGTAAGAACTTTAAAGCTCCTGTTACAAGAACAACAGACTTAAAGCACCTGTTGTACATATAACTACTCTACTCTAAAAATTATATTACAAAAGAGCAACCCTAAAACACTGTTTTAGCATTAACAACTTTAAAATATCTGCACGGATAGTTATTAAACTACCAGTAATTATACTGAAACTTCTTTTGTACAGACAGCAAGTCTAATTCCTCTGCAGTGCTAATTGTCCAGAAACAACTTTAATATTTTTGTAACACGAACATCAGTTCAGAATCATTTTTGATCCAGAAACTATTCTAAATCTCACGTATACCAGAAATGAATCTAAGTCTTTTGTCATACCAAAACAATTCTATAATACCAACAATACTGTTACGTCTCCGTTTGTTAATTGATTTTTCCGTAACTTCGTTCCGACGAAACTTTAAAGACACAAGTCTTTACTTAATAAAACTGGTTTATTCTTTCCGAATATAACTTTACGATACACTTAATTTCAATATTCGCGCTAAAACAAACACTATAACGAACGAATGTTAACTTCAACAATACCTTGGGACTGCAGTTCAATTACTCACTATCTACACACACCTTATTATTATTCAGTCACGTTGTCACCCTCTTTTATATACCAGACTACCCTATATCTAGTAAATACTAGAGCATTCGCCAAGGTACAGGATAGTTCTAGAAAATAAGTGGCGCCACACCAGTCACGTGACCTCGATGACGCAACACTGCCCCCTCCTTAGTATTGTTCGTCCTGAACAATTGCCACTTACAATAAACCAATAACAATTAACAATAACTTAATTAAATGTACAGAATTAAAATCATAAAATTACAATTCAACAAAGTCTCTTAATTTTACGGGACACATCTTCTTCCGTACTGGTCTCCGTCTTGTTGGCTTCTGCTTCACGTGGGGTTCATCTGCTTCATCAGTAAATGTCCTATCATCGGTAACAGTCACATCAGTGGTAGTAACTTCATCAAGAGCTTCACCGTTTTCCTTCTCAAACTGAGTAGAGTTTCTTCTTCAACGGTGGCTTCTTCAAGTTGGCA